GTTTCCCCAATTCATTCTTTTTTCCATCTGCATCTTCCAGACCTTCACCAGCTCGCTGGATGTTTCCATCCCCACAGGAGAAAGTTTATTACACTCCTGCCGCAGACAGGAGAACCCCAGGGACGCTGTCAATCCGATTTCTGATGTTCTCTTTATTTTGGATCTGCTGTTGGCATTGGAACAGCTCAGATAAGTGCAAAATCCTCAGTATCGCCAGGACAGGTTTGGGGAGCCGGCAGCCATGTTGGGCCTCCGGGCAGAAAGAGCGGAGCCAAGAGCAGCCAGCCCTCAATATCACCCAGAGCATACTACAATCCCCCCTTCCCCAGCCCATAGAGCCACCCGAAGCACGCCACGCAGCGCTCTGACAACAATTAAAAGGGCTCAGGGCTCTGACCACCCCGTAGCAGCGACAGGAGAATCAGGCCCTTTAGAATCGCTGGGCCTCAGGGCAGTTGCCCCCGTTAGCAGGCCTGCCTAGGGCAAAGGGCATGGCTCACTTCCCACGGATGTGTTCAAGGTCCACGGCGCTTTCAGTGCAGAGCAGATGTCTGCGTCAGCCTCGCCTGGCGTGCTCCTCCCCAGAGATGACTGCCTTTTAGCCCAGTTCCAAACCTCTTACTGATCACAATCTTCACTCCCACAAGTCGCCCCTTTGTGGAGGCAGCACCAGCCTCATAACACAAGCCCGGTGTCCAAAAGATAATTCCTCAGTGAGAGGAAGGCAAAGGGTAGAGAGCAACAAACCCTGATGAAGCCTTGATTCAGCAAACACTTACAGAGCTATTTAAATCCTGCTGGCATCGGCAGGACTTGCCTCTCTGCCTAAGCACTTTGCTATCAAGGCCTGAGGTGCCAATACAATGCTGAAGATTTGCCTAAAGCAGCCCTTGGTTTTGCTGTTGTCGGAGCGGTTCCGATGCAAAGAGCGGAGCACGGTCTCTTCTGCAACCCGCTCAATAAACCTCCCCTTCTGCAGTAAGCAGCACGAGCAGGGCTAAGGTCTGATTTGTATCGAATGTGTCATGCACGGAAACGTTCCCTTTCAAGGCATTCTGTTCTCCTAGGGAAGAAGCAGAGAGATGAATAAAACATGTACCACGTTAGCAATGCCAAGCAGAGCGTGTGCCTTACAAATGCATGGAATAATCAGCATGGAAAGTGCTTAGCACAAGGGGCCTGGCCCAGGCCTCAGTTTCCCAGGGACTGCCATGATACAGACCGTAAATGAATAATACTAATGCCAAACCTAAGCCCTTATCTATGCAGTGCAGGTCTAGCCACGTTATTGGAGAGGCAGGGTGGATGAAGCAATATCTTTTATTGGCCCAGCTTCTGTTGGTGACAGAGACAAGCTTTCAAATATCCCAGAGCTCTTCTTCAAGCTCAGAAGCTTCTCTCGCACCAGCCAAAGTTGGCCCAATAAAAGATATTCCCTCCCTTGCCGCTCTACGCCAGTCGGGGGCTGCTTGCGGCTCACCAGGGTTCTACGTGCATCCCAGGAAACATTTTGGCTGTGTCTACACTGGGCCACTTATTCCGGAAAAGCCAGCTGTCTACACTGGCCGCTTTATTTTCCGGAAAAGCAATGATGATCTACTGTAAAATTGTCAGTGTTTTTCCGGAAAAACTATGCTGCTCCCATTCGGGCAAAAGTCCTTTTTCCGGAAAACTGTTCCAGAAAAGGGCCAGTATAGACAGCACAGTAGGGTTTTCCACAAAAAAGCCCCGATCACGAAAATGACGATCGGGGCCTTTTTGCGGAAAAGCGCATCTACATTGACGCTTTTCCGCAAAAAGTGCTTTTCCGGAAAAGCATCCTGCCAATGTAGACACGCTTTTTCCGGAAATACTTATAACAGAAAACTATTCCGTTTTAAGCATTTCCGGAAAAGGGTGCCTGTGTAGATGTAGCCTTTGTGTACTGTTGCTTGTGCACAGGTGTAACCACCAACAGGCAGATTTGAACCTGGGACCTCTGAAGCAGCGTATAGGAGCCTCTGCCCTCTGAGCTAAAAGCCAGCAGGCTCCCAGCCCCTGCTGTAGAGGTCTTTTGATCTTAACTGTTGCTGTGGTCTAGGTACCACTTGTATTGCTCAGTAACCACCCTAGGGCTCTGTCCAGACTCAGGGGTTTTTTCGAAAAAAGTAGCCTTTTTTCGAAAAAACTTCCCCTGCGTCCAGACTCAAGCCGCGTTCTTTCGAAATTAATTCGAAAGAACGCAGCTTTTCTTTCGATGGCGGTAAACCTCATTTCACGAGGAAGAACGCCTTCTTTCGAAAGTTCCTCTTTCGAAAGAAGGCGTTCTTCAATGTAAATAGGGCTTCTTCAAAAGAGAGCATCCAGACTCACTGGATGCTTTCTTTCGAAAAAGCAAGCCGCTTTTTCGAAATTTCTCCGTGCAGTCTAGACGCTCTCTTTCGAAAGAGGCTCTTTCGAAAGATGCTTTCGAAAGAGCCTCTTTCGAAAGAAGCCTGCAGTCTAGACATAGCCTAGGTGTGTGGGTTACACAGGGCTGCCAGATCCTGGTAGTTTTTTCCTACCTGTATTACTAAAGTGAGCCTCATGTAAAGCGAGGGCACGGGAAGTGAGGTGTGTGCTGATTACACACAACATTGACTGTGAGAGCCGTGCGCTCCCTCTGCATCCGATCAAAGCAGTTCAATCCAATGCCCTGAAAATTCTAGGCACGTAAGTGCCGTGAGCAGAACTACCCTATCCCAGGAGACCATCTTGGTTACAACGATCTTGCGGCCTGCTGAGGTGAAGGAGAGTCACTCCTGCAGCCCCCTCACCAGCCTCGCTTGTAGTGCTTGTCATCGATAGAGTTCAGCATTAATCTCTCTCTTATACAGGTAAGGAAACTGAGGCACAGGGCTGTGAAATGACTTGCTCACGGTCACCTGACAGACCAATGGCAGAGCTGGGAATAGACCCAAGTCTCGTGAGTCCCAGTCCAGAGCCCACCTGGCCTCCTTAATAAACAATACCACCATGACTGCTCTTCTGGCCAATTGGAGGCTAAGGCCTGCAGCAGCGGGGCATCCCAAAGCGGACCATCCATTGATTAACTAACTGTGGAAAGGGGGACTCCCCGCTGGCATTGCCCCCTCACGACCGGCCGTGGCATAGCCAGCTCTACTCCTCTGCGCCCCCATTCCACGATGGCCCCTCTGTTCTCATGACTGAGCTCTGTGGCCGGGTCACATTCAGTCCAGAGGGCAGGCCTAGGTGTCTCTCCCAGCATCTTGTGAGGTGCTGTGAAGCCCCTGAGGCAGGTATATGGACTATGGCAAGCCGGGCCCTGAATCCAGGGTGGCAGATGTGATGGAGGGTTTGTTCTCTTGGTTTATTTGGGTTTTCTACTCTAAGGCTGTGTCTACACTACATGCCTCTGTCGGCAGAGGCATGTAGATTAGGGTTGTAGGCAAAGGTAAATGAAGCCTCGATTTAAATGATCGCGGCTTCATTTACATTTACATGGCTGCCGCGCTGAGCCGACAAACAGCTGATCAGCTGTTTGTCGGCTCAGCGCGGCAGCCATGTAAATGTAAATGAAGCCGCGATCATTTAAATCGAGGCTTCATTTACCTTTGCCTACAACCCTAATCTACATGCCTCTGCCGACAGAGGCATGTAGTGTAGACACAGCCTTAGAGTAGAAAACCCAAATAAACCAAGAGAACAAACCCTCCATCACATCTGCCACCCTGGATTCAGGGCCCGGCTTGCCATAGTCCATATACCTGCCTCAGGGGCTTCACAGCACCTCACAAGATGCTGGGAGAGACACCTAGGCCTGCCCTCTACACTGTTCCAGGCCAGGCGCCGAGGACAGGCAGTCAAGGTTCACTCCTCCCAATTCCTTGCGGCTACCTCTGTAGACTTCTTCCTATCTGGCCTGGTGGCAGGCCTCTCCCACCGCTGCTCCCCCTCTTGCGATCGAGCCCTTCCTAGGTCTCCCCCGTAGGGGGCTGGCGG